ACAAAATTTTACAAAATTGATCAACTTTCAGCTGACTTTACTAATGTGATTGAAAAATTGTCGTTTTTAAACCAATTAAATATTTTTTTTGATCGATTTCGCTAATTAAATGCTAAAAGTGGTCTATCTTTGTTGTGCCAAAAGCTGTGTCGATGAACCAAACCAAACGCCAATCCAAGAGAGTCAAACGAACTAAATATCAATGCACAAACAAAACATCAATTTTAACGTGGTTCGGCAAGTTGCCTACGTCCACGGGGCAAGAAGGAGATAGGGTTTTCACTAATAGAAAAGAAGAGTACAAATTGAGATTACAAATCACTCGAAGGAACAAACTAATCTCACCAACAAAACTCTTAATCTCTCCAAACAAAACCCTAACCAAAAGCTCAAAAAATACCTCTTTTTGTGCTCCAAATATCCCCCAGTCAATGCTTAATCAAAGCCCAATCAAAGCCTAAACAAAGCCAAAGAAACCCCAAAAATGTGTCTCTATTTATAACAAAACACAATTCTAAACTGATTGGGATTCTAAAAACGAGTCTGTCACACCCTAGTGTGGCACACACCACACCCATGACAAACAGGACAGATTCTGTCACACCAGGGTGTGGCAGACACTACACCCATGACAGACAGGGCAAGTTCTGCCACACCCATGGCAGACAAGGCAAGTTCTGCCACACCCATGGCAGACACCACACCAGGGTGTGGTGGAGCCTGTTTTGCTTATTCTTCACGTTTTTCTCAATTCCTTCCTCAATTCCTTCGCCGTTTTCACAATTCTCCATCTCGGCGAAGTTTTCCCAAAACTGAGCTGACACCAACCAAAACAAATGCCTCACTTATTGCATCCAGTACGCGACGGCAACGGACTCATGACAACGGACTTCATCCACACAAGTCGAGACGCAAACGGGAGTGCGAACACTCACCCAAATATCGGTATCTACTCACCAAATCGGCTGCATCAAAACTGACTGCCTACGTATCCTCTTGCCCAAGGAATCAAGCATTCACGTAATTCATCCAAAGACCCTCAAACAAATAGAAAAGTCTGCAACTCTTCCCCAATATCGCCAACGGATCTATAACTGATAGCGGCCCCAAACTGATACAAATCAAACACCTCCATCTGAGGTGAACCAATGGCTGTATCCAAATCATGTCCACCAGCTGCAACCGAATCCAAAACCAATCCATCATCTGCATCCGAAATCAAATGATCCCTAACCTGTGTCACCTCAGCTGGAATCCCAAATGACGCAGTATGATCTGGAGTATGTGGAATAAGTTCCACCCAACGTGAAGTAGCATCACCCTCCACCTGCTGCGATATCCAAACGACCTGATCAACACTCTCCACTTGCCGAGAGTCAAATTTGTCATTCCTACTCAGAACAAAATCAGAAGCTCCCAAACGATAATCAAATGAGCCTCCGAATCCCAAACACGCAATCGGATCAAATCTCACATCCTCGATGTGACCAAATACTGGGTAACCAAATATCCGACGTCGACCAAAATCTGAAGCAGCTCTACCAGATCCAATAACTCCTTATGCAACAGTCAGCGACCTATGACTAAGATGACCCAAATATGTCGAAGCTCCAGAACCAATGCTCGACAACCAACGTCGATCCTCCTCCAGAAAGGAACGACCCATCGAAACTGTCATCTCATCTTGTCGTCCCAAAGTCTCCACACCAATGAAGTGTCTCCTATTGTTGTGAGCTCGGCACAAACGTAAGAAAGGATCCCTACCGTAGCTAGAACAACGAGTTACCTTTCTGCCAATACACTTCTTCCAATTGTTGTTGACTTCTAGGACTTTACACCAACGGGAATTGGTCGCGACCCAATAATACCTAGAACAATCACCAACTGTGAAAACTACAAAACGATTACCTCCCAATGATGCCTCCTTGGAAGGACCCCAAATGCCTAACTGAACACCTCCTAAAAGACCCATCGCTCGATGGATAGGAGTGCCAAACTTCATCTCGGTCTTGCTCATCTCAATGTGCTCAAAGGACTTTCATCTGCAGATCAAAGCACTCCTCAACAACCTATGTACGACATCACCAATCAAATACCCCAGCACCAAACAACGTCACAATCTAGCCAAATCCAATGAAGTCGTTAGAGCTCTATCAATCACCGTGCTCCCAAACAAATAGTATAAGTTACTCTTTCTGACGTCCTTCATCACAATCATGGACCCAAATATAACCTTCAAGCATGCATCCGCCAAGGTCACCCTATAGCCTTCTACCTCCAAAGCTCCAAGTAAAATAATGTTCTTCTTCAACTTAGGAACGAACATCACTCCAACAAACTCCAGAATCACCCCGTCACTCATCCTGATCCGAACGGTACCGATACCACCAATAGAGCATTTGTGATCATTCCCCATGAGCAAGAAATCCCCTCTTTCCAACTCTTGAAAGCTGGAGAACCAATCCCTCCTAGGGTAAATATGGTATGTAGCGTCCGAATCCAACATCCAGTCTGTAGAGTAGGCAACACAAACTGACGACGGTGCAGATAATGAGTAGCCTGAAGAATCCGAATCTGAATTGTTGTCACTAATCTTGACAATATTCACCTCTGAAGCTTGTACAGCTTTCCCCTTATTCTTCCCGGCTTGATCATTCAACTTTGGGCATTCAGCTTTCTAATGTCCATCTTCTTTACAAAAAGCACACTGATTCCTACGAATTCCAATATGTGCTCCTCTAGAATATGACATTCTACCTCGGTTTGAACTCTTTGCTCTTGCAACCAATGCCCCCGCTACCGGCTCAATAGAAGTCTCATTATCCTTCTTACTGAGTTGGTAATTCACTAATGCAGCGGTGACCTCACTATATGAAAGAGATGCCTTCTCATTAATAAGAGTAAGGACAAACGTCTCATATTTCTCGTCGGGCAATGAACTCAACAATAGCAATGTCTTGTCCTCATATTCAACAATGACATCTACATTCGCCAAATCTGTAAGAAGCTTCGTGTGGTGGTTTATGTGATCACTAATGGATGTCCCCTTCTTCAATTGAAAATGATAAAGCCTCCTTTTCAAATGCAAGCGGTTTTCAACGCTCTTCGTCAAGTACTTGCTCTCTAGGACCTCCCAAATCTTCTTCGCAGAAGTCTTATGCATCACATCATATTTTAGATATTGAGTGAGACAAGACCTAATCACACCAAACGCTGTCCGATTCATCTTTTTCCAAACCTTCTCATCAATGTCATCCGGTTTCCCATCCAACTCCAACGTATCTTTCTAAATTTTGCGCATTGAGTGCATCCAAGACTTCGCATCGCCAAAGTCTAAAATTGTTAGTGCCATTGAACTTCTCCACGTCAATCTTCATCGAGTGGATACTCAAACTTTGGACAATCTTCACACCTGAAGAACTACCATCAACTCCCTCTTTCTCGGCCATAATCCTTAACACACCAACAACCAATGCGGAAACAAACAAAGAATAGATCTAAAACTGAGAAAAGAAAGAAGCTTTACCGAAAAGATCCCACCTTTCTTACCAATTAAAACCCTAGACGAGCTTTCCAAATCGATCTACTCCTCCAAATAGCCCAAGCGTAGCCCGAGCTCTGATACCAAATTGTTGTGTCAAAAGCTGTGTCGAGGAACCAAACCAAACGTCAATCCAAGAGAGCCAAACGAACTAAATATCAATGTACAAACAAAACACCAATTTTAACGTGGTTCGGCAAGTTGCCTACGTCCACAGGGCAAGAAGGGGATGAGGTTTTCATTAATAGAGAAGAATAGTACAAATTGAGATTATAAATCACTCGAAGGAACAAACTAATCTCACCAACAAAACTCTTAATCTCTCCAAACAAAACCCTAACCAAAAGCTCAAAAAATACCTCTTTTTGTGCTCCAAATATTCCCCAATCAATGTTTAATCAAAGCCCAATCAAAGCCTAAACAAAGCCAAAGAAACCCTAAAAAACGTGTCTCTATTTATAACACAATCAAAGCCTAAACAAAGCCAAAGAAACCCTAAAAAACGTGTCTCTATTTATAACAAAACACAATCCTAAACTGATTGAGATTCTAAAAACAAGAAACCCTAAAAAACGTGTCTCTATTTATAACAAAACACAATCCTAAACTGATTGAGATTCTAAAAACAAGTCTGTCATACCCTAGTGTGGCACACATCACACCCATGACAAACAGGGCAGATTCTGTCACACCAGAGTGTGACAGACACCACACCCATAATAAACAGGACAGATTCTGTCACACCCATGACAGACACCACATCAGGGTGTGGTGGTGCATGTTTTGCTTATTCTTCACGTTTTTCTCAATTCATTGCTCAATTCCTTCGTCATTTTCACAATCTTAAAAACTTGCCCATATCATATGCAATCAAAATTTAGTATTCGTACTGTCAGAATACAAAGCTATAATGGTTAGATATTATCTTGAGAAAATTGTTACCGTTACGCAAGTTTTAAATTTCAACTCATAATAAGAAAATTATCCAATTTATAAAAATGCGTTAAAATATAAAATTGTAATTCGGAATTTCACGCATTGGTTCCATATTCGCCGACTTTATTTAAAGTCACCAATAGCGAAATGCTTAGGGGCAGTTTGGTTGGCATTTTTTGCCCTTGTAAAGCTGTCAAAACTGATAAAAGCTGTCAAAAATGACAGCTTTACTTGTAAAAACGCTCATTTTTGGACGTTTTTACAAGTAAAGCTGTCAAAACTGATAGTTTTTGTCAGTTTTGACAGCTTTACAAGAGCAAAAAATGCCAACCAAAGAGCCCCTTACTCTCAGCGTAATTTTTTTAATGCGGAATACCCTCTATTAGGACGTTAGTTGGCAACACCACCCACCCGTAAAGAGATCAGCGGGCACAACTTACACTATTGCCCACGTGCCACGTGTGCGGCGGGCGTGTCGGTCAC